GGGCACACAGAGTGGGGACAGGGGGACAGCAGGGTCACCCCCAAGCCTCAGAGTGTCCCCCATCCTCATAAACCCGTGAGAAAGGAAATGGGAAAGGGGGGGACGCGCTGGGAATGGGGGTGACACCGAGGAGGGGGGGACACCGGAAAGGGGGGCACAGAGCGGGGAATAGGGTCACAATGCCCCATTGAGGGGCACCACACGGTGCCACCCCCCCATTGTCACCGAGGGGTTTGGGTGTCACCATCAGTGCCATCCCTATTGCCACTGAGGGGTTTAGGGATCCCCCCATTGCCACCGAGGGGTTTGGGGGTCACACGGTGCCACTCCCATTGCCACAGAGGGGCTTTGTGGTCCCCCCATTGCCACCGAGAGGTTTGGGGTCACACTGTGCCATCCCCATTGTCACCGAGGGGTTTGGGGGTCCCCCCATTGCCACCGAGGGTTTTGGGGGTCACCATCAGTGCCACCGAGGGGTTTGGGTGTCACCATCAGTGCCATCCCTATTGCCACTGAGGTGTTTAGGGGTCACATGGTGCCACCCCCATTGCCACCGAGGGGTTTGGGGTCACCATCAGTGCCCCTCCATTGTCACCGAGGGGTTTGGGGTCACACGGTACCACCCCCCATTGTCACCCGAGGGGTTTTGGGGTCCCCCCATTGCCACCGAGGGGTTTTGGGCTCCCCCCATTGTCACCGAGGGGTTTTGGGGTCCCCCCATTGCCACCGAGGGGTTTGGGGTCACATGGTGCCAATCCCATTGCCGCAGAGGGGTTTTGGAGTCCCCCCATTGCCACCGAGAGGTTTGGAGTCACATGGTACCACCCCCCATTGTCACCCGAGGAGTTTTGGGGTCCCCCCATTGCCACCGAGGGGTTTGGGGTCACCATCAGCGTCCCCCAACTGCCATGGGGACCCCCCCAATCCCAGCTGCCGCTGCCGCCGGGCCTGGGGGGCTCAGCCCCCCCCGGTTTCCGTTCCGGGGCCGGTTCAGATGGCAGAGCCAGGAAGCAGCTGTCCCCACGRCGGGGACGGAGCAAATGTCACCCCGGCCACCTGGCACCGCGCTGGCCTTGTCCCTGTCCCTGTCCCTGGCTCCTGCCGTGGGTCCCCCCCTCCCCAAGCGGCACCTCCCGGGGCGGGGGGCTCAGGGGGCACCCCCAAAACTGCGGAGGCGCCAACAGGAGCGGGGAGCGCCAACCCCGGGGGTGTCCCCACGTGGGTGACAGGGCCGGGGGTGTCACCGGAGCGGCGGGGGGGTGTCACCCAGCACCCACCGTTTACCTTGGCGCTTCCACGGCCCCGCCGGCGGCTCAAATGTCCCCCCGGGCCTCCCGCTCCGGTTACCGGCTCCGCTTACAGCTGCCGTTTATAGCCCCGCTCCTCGTCCCTTATCCCTTGTCCCTTGTCGCTGTCCCCTCCCCATCGCCCACCGCCCCCCGGGGTGGCCACACAGCCAGGACCGAGCCCCCCAGGACACCGCCGGCACCGAGAGCGCGGGGATGGCGGGGACCCCTCGGTCACCTTGGCCGGCTTTGTCACCCCCTGGGTGAGCCCTGGCCCTTTGTCACCCCCCGGGTGACACCCGTGGGTGCCCCGACACGTCCCTTCCAGCAGGCGGGCGGTGCTGGTGGCCGGCCAGAGCCGCATGGTGATTTGCATATTAAATACGGCCTCATCTGCATATTAAGGACGGTTTCCTAGCGAGGAGGATCACGCGTCGCTCCGAAATAAAC